AAGTTCCAAAGAAAGATTTCTTTCTCATCTCCATTGCTCCTCACAAAATAAGACCGACATTTCTTTCGAATATAAGTCTCTATCAATGATAAAGACTTATATAAACACACAAACTCAAAGGGAAAGACCTTATAGTCTTTCTAATTCATTATTTATATCTTCACACAACCTATAAGAAATTGCCATAATTTAGAATTTATCAATTATCATCATCCATCCATATTCTTATGTCAAAATACTTATTTTTAATCATAAATCACTATCATTGATAGAATAACTTATGATCATTAAGAAAAATTATGCAGAGATACCCAGATATAATTTTGATTAGGATGAGTCTTTTAAGTAACATATTTTGCTTTGAGATTAGTGCTATCTTTATAATACAAATGTTTTACCCCAATCTCAAAACAAATTTAGTATACATCTCTCAAGCCCATCTTGATCAGAACATTGTCAAGTTATCTTCCGCAAATTTTTTTTCTTTTGACTTTATTAAAGTAATACAAACATTTATATATTGGATGAATGATGATGAAAAGTAATAAATTCCATAGAAGTAAGTATTTAATCTCTTACTCCCAAATAGCAACTTCCATGAAACCATCCTCATCAGCACAAGCCCGAAACATTCCCGAAGTATTAAATCCATAAGCCACTTCCCCTTTAGCTGAAACAGCTATCAAGCCCGCAAAGCCCTTGTCCAACTTCTCCTTAATGGCACAATCCACGGCCTCCTTCAAGCCCATTCCCTTGTATTCCATAAGGGCGGCCACATCTCTAGCCAGTGTCGCTCGAATTATTGCCTCTCCTTCTCCTGTGAATTCAGTAATGGCTGAATCAAGAATTTTCTTAACAATAGCAAATAAATTGTATTATAAGAGCGAAGGTAAATATTTTTGGTTAAAATATTGAATAAATTGGGCAAATTAATTTAAATTTCAATTACCTGTGCATGACACGGCACAGTCTCTACATGCGTAAGTTCCTGACCCGATCAACGGCGAGTCACCGATTCGCCCGTTTATCTTATTCATCAGCCCACCGGTTGACGTTGCAGCCGCACATCGCCCGTATTTATCTACGGCCGTGCAACCCACAGTCTCTGGAGCATATATGGCGATTGGAAGGCCGTTCATGAGCACGGCGCTAACGCCAAATGTGTCGGGAACTTTGTAGTCATACTGATAAATAAGACAATAATTACTGTTAAGAAGGTTGGTGAATTTTTATTGAAAATGATATTAGTATTGTTATAAGTAATTAAATAAAGAGAGGAAGATAAATTAAGGAGTATTAATTAATTACCAGAATCGAGTTTGCTTGCTTGGCTAGCTTTAACATGCTTACGTTTGCTTCTGTGATGAAATAACTCTCATCCA